TATATTATTCCCTAGTTAGTACTACTCTATTAATAGCACTGCTCCTTCGTTAGTACTAATACCCCTATAGTACCACTGATAGTACTATCAGCCTATGGGTGCTAACTGAACCGTAGCGCTAAGGGGTTCGTAACAAAAACTAATCTAGTTATAGAGCTTATCTATATTAATCGAATATATAAAGCTCTAATAGTTTAATAGAAAGAATCAAAGGAGCCTAATTCATAGTATATCCTCCGGGAAGATAGCCTACTTCTATTTAAAGGTCGACTATAGGTCCCGGATATAGATAATTTATATATACGACTTATCTAGTATATTCACGACTAAATCTCTATAGCCTATCCTAGGAAGTCTAAGATATTCAGCTTACTTTATATTAGGTACTACTAGCTTAGTATACTTAAGGATATAGCTAGGTTCGTATTAAATTACCTAGCTTATAATCGTGTGAACTATTATTAAGATAAGACGCTAGGGTACCTCTACTTCTTACTAATCTCTAACTGCCTATAGTAACACTTAACTATAAACTTTAAGAGTATACTAAAAGATAAGTTTAGGTATAATTCTATACTTATCGTAATAGACTGTTTTTCTAAAGAAGTAATATTAATCCCTTGTTTCTCTACTTATATAGCTCGCGACTTAGTATAACTATTTATCTCTAACTACTAGAAGTTTAATAGGCCCCCGGAAATAATAGTATTAGATAAAGGCTTATAGTTTATCTCCTTTTTCTAGAATAAGTTCTATCGTATCCTTAGTATTAAGGTTAAGCTTTCTACTGCTTACTACGCTTAGATAAATAGTTAGACAGAGATTATAAATTAATACCTAGATTAGTATCTCCGGCCTTTTATTAACTACTACTAGGATAACTAGTCTGAACTCCTACTAATAATAGATTACGCTTAGCTAACTCTCTTATATAAGTCTCTAGGAATATCCTTATACTAGTTAAAGTATAGGTATAAGCTAAGGACTAGTTCAGATTAGGATAAGCCCTAGCTAGAAGTCGAATAAATAGTTACTAAGAAGCTAAATATCGCTAATATATAAGTATTTACTTATTATTATAAATAGGTCTAGAGGAAAGCCTAAGAGTTCCTTTGCGACTAATAGGAAAAGAAGTAATATGATATAAATAAGTTATACCGGGAAGTTAACTAAGAGGTAGGCGATTCTATATAAATAATAATAAGAAACTAGAAGATATACCGCCTAAAGAAGAAGCTAGATAATTAATAGGTAGGCCTATTTAAGGTCCTTAGAAAAGAAAGCTAATTATTCTACTTAGACCTCCTAGCTTTAGTTAAGATCTACCTTATATTTTCTGCGGATAAGCTTTAGCGGTATAATAATAACCTATTACCTAGATAAGTACTATAGGAATAAGAACCTATCTAAGTTAACGTTGAATAAGAATAGGAGGTCTAGGATATCTTAAGGGTACGCCTCGAATAGGATAGGACTTTATAGTACTAAGCTAAATAGAAGGGACTTAATCCTAACCTTAAATTCTACCTTACTAGAGACTTTATAACTTATCTATATAAATTTCGGGATTTTTATTAGGCCTACTCTACAGAACTAGAACTGCTTAAGCTACTCCCCGAATAGCTAACTACTTAAGAGGCAGAGGATAATAATACGTATAACAGATTAGTAGATAATACTATTGTATCTAAAGCAAATCGTAGGAAATTTTTTCGCGGCTTAAGGATAAGCCTTCCTTAGAGAAGGGAGTAATATAATAGACTAATCATAATAAGCGAGTCACGTGAGTAAGGCTAACGTTATAAGGCTACGAGGCTAGAGTTATATAGTGAACCTAAGACTAGCCTAGTTTACTAGCAGCTATATCCTCCCTACTTATTCTTAAGGCTCCTTAGGAACCTCTTCCTCTCGCTATCTTTTCTACTTTATATTATAGCTACTAATAAACCTTCGTTATGCTGTCACAGAAGTTTATGTTAAGCTTTATATTAAATGTAATTAGGCCTAATCGGGAATAGCTTAGTGAATTTATTTATATAGGCTCGAGCGCTCTCTACAGAATCGAGAGCTCCTCAGCTTGATATTCGCGCTAATAGAGAGATTATCACCTGATCCGTAGTTATTTCGCTCACGTGCTAGCTAACGCTAAACCGTGCTATTACAATACCTTAGCTTGTTTAATATATATATATATTATTATTATTAAGAAGTAAATTTATATAGTAAAACTAAAGATATTAATAATCTGAAAGAGTGCTTATTTAATATTTTTAATATAGTAGCTATAAGTAAAGAGAGAGGGTAGCCACTAGAGGTTATTTAGAGAAAGAGGGTACTAATAAGCGAAGGTTCGCAGCTTCTGATTTGTTTTCAGGTCGGGCTAACTTTGTTCTAATCACGTGCTTAATAAATAACGAATAATAGGGTGAGTCCATTAAATCCCATTATTTATTAAAATCCCTCTATTAACGAATGACGGCAACCCTAGTTGTGGCACCGTTCAACCGTTGACGGTACCATGGACGATCAAAGGTTATGTGAACGTTCGGCACAGAATTGCACCCAGACAGCGCCTCAACACTTAATCCTTATCAAATCCACCGGGCAGAGCAGTTCTGCTAGCTGCCAACATGTGAAAGCGACAAAGTGCCCGGTACATACCCTCTTTTCCTATCAAGACTAGATATCAGATTGTTCTGAGCTGCTCCCGCACTGACGGAGATGGCGGGCTGGTGGCTGGAGCATGCTGGGCTCAGCATCTGGCAAAGAGAAGTGCAAAGCTGGAGGTTCCAAGCAATGCATGTCAATCTTTCACGGCAGGATGTTACGGAGGAGCTCTAAGCGTCTGGAAGCTGCATCGAAAAGCCACAAGCCAAGTATTCTTGTCACTGATGAGTCCCGCCAAGTGGTGAGGCTTGATCCGACCAAACATTAGAGCACGACACAGCTGCTACCTTCACCGTGACTTCCGCCAAGCTCCGGTCGGACAGGACATGGTTAATGGGGTGAATGCGCAGTAAGAGGAGCTGGAGATCGGCCGGCTACCTGAACTGGTCGTTCTTGTCGCGGTGAGCAGAGGCAAGCGAGATACGAGCCGCAGAAAGGTACATGGGACAACTGTATCAGGCTAATTGACGGAGGCCGAACACGGAGAATGTTGTGTTTTGTTCTGTCTGACCGAGCATCTGCACGAAGGGCTATCGACGGGGTTCATCTGTCTGTAACCTGCCAGGTAGGCGAAGTCACTGGTCAACAGGGGCGGACTACATACGGAGGACCTACCTTAGGTACCTACTGTAGGTAGGTCGTCTTGATGTCTCTCGATCAGTTTGGCTGAACGGGAAAGGAACATTCGTTACCTTCCCTCCCCTTCCCTCCCCTTCCCTTAGCTTCCCTTCTGCTCCTGCTCCTGCTTCTGCTTCTGCTTCTGCTTCTGCTTCTGCTGCAATATTACTGTAAAGTGGTCCCATAGCACAGCTATTCTGAGCAAGGCGCAATCGCGCTGTGTCTCGGGGGGCGGCAGCGTCTTTTTCATAGCGCTATCAATGGCGAACATCCATGTTCTCTGCTTTTGCTAAGACCAGCGGGTATGTAGAACTACTAAAATCCGAGCCTCTAGCTCTGTCAGCCTGCATAAAGACCATGATGCCTCTGCCACCCCCTCTGCCCCTCTGCCCCTCTCGGCCTCCCCTCCCTCTCTCCTCACCCCTCTCTTCTATCTTCCCATCCTGGCCATCCCAGTCATCCCAGTCATTCCAGTCATTCCAGTCATTCCAGTCATCCAGTTATCCTAGAGCCCGCCAACCGGAGCAGGAGCGGGAGCAGGAGCAGGGTATACGCATCGCATGAGCAGCCGACGACGAAGACGAAGGGAAGGGGAAGGGGAAGGGGAAGGGAAAGGAACCTTTGCACCGTCAGCAGCGCGGGAGCAGGGGGTGCAGGGTGTGCAGCACTCTGGCCTTGGCGGCCGACAAGTCATCACTCCAAATTTGCGTGTGAAGATTTAGGTAATAAAGTTTGCGTGAGGTCATCCACAGTGATTGGCTGCGCCTTGTCTATCGGAGGTATCGTCGGTACGGTACAGTATGGTATCCTCCCCTGTTCCGATTTGGTCCCATATGCAGATGCCACGAGTCTGTGCCCCCCAGTCATTCTCATTCTCTTCCCATAGACTGACTCCCTTCCAATTATTCCCTCCCCTCCCTCCTGCTGTACTACTGTACTCCACTACTCCTCCATCCCAACCCAACTCAGCGCGCGCCGTCCTCCTGACTGTCCTATCCATCCTATCCATCCTATCCATCCTATCCATCCTATCCATCCTATCCATCCTATCCATCCTATCCATCCTACCCATCCTATCCCCTCTCAAGCCCCTCTCACCCCTCTCACCCCTCCCACCCCCTACCCGTGTACGGCTCGAGAGGATGGGTAGGCTGTTCCTAAAACGGCTCTTCAGAATGGGGCAGCACCACCACCACCACCCCCAGCCTGCGTCCCCATCATCCCATCCCAGCATGAAAAGCTGTTACCGCTCCATCTGCAAGGCCCCGGGCACTTGATTGGAGAGAACAATGTCCCCAAGTGGAATGAGCTCGAGTAAAGGCGGTATGCGCCATTGCCATTGCCATTTCCATTGCCTCTGCTTTACTTTTCTTCTTTACTTTGTCTCGCGGGGCTGTTGGGGTCGGATCACATTCTGAGTCTCTGCAGGGTCGTCTTAGTCCGAGTGTGTTCCATCCACTGAGAATATATCAAGCACCGATGCACCGGAAGCGAACATCCTCGTCGAACGATGACTTAAGACGTCGATTCCCCTCGAGCTTTGTCAAGTTTTAAGGTTTGATCAATTGCCACAGCCTTGCAGAGCACTACTCCCTCTTCAGCTACTTGAAGCTTGGACCCAGCTACAATCACTCTTGTGTAAGGCTGATTCCACTATTGCCTCACAATAAACACCACTCTATCACCACCGTTCTACAGACGAACGATATTTAAGAATGGCAGCCGGGCAGTATAACGACAATTCGGTGGATAATCAGTCCTACCTGGTGGCTCCAGATTTGAACGCCGGCATGTATGATGGAACTTCCAGCGACTCTTCTGCGAGTTCGCCATTAAATTGTAACGTGAGCAAAACGATACCACAACCTGCTTCCACTGGCTAATCAGTATGACTAGAGTTTCGATAACCTTTATGGCTCAAATGGCTTCATGGCCTATCCCGCGTTTCCAATGCAGTATCCAATGGCCGGGGAGGGCATGGCACCCATGGGGCTCATCCCAGTTGAGTTGGACATCGAGGGTCTCTATGAGGATCATGATCGTAGACGGAGGAAAAATGGAACTGAGAAGACCGTCTCCTCGCACGTTCATTCGGTATGAAGTTTCAGTCTACGGTCATGAAGCTTATGACTAATCCTCTCCAGCGACGTCGTGCTCAGAATCGCGCATCACAACGGGCGTTCAGGGATAGAAAGGAGAAGCACATGAGAGAACTGGAGCAAAGGCTTGGAGAACTCGAGGGCCGTCACAGCGACCTTTCGAGGTCTTATGAATCGCTACAAGTCGAATATACTAGCGTCAAGCAGGAGCTAGACAAGCTCCGCAAGGACAGGGAAGGATCAACAAGGAATTACCAATCGAGAGAATGGGAGGAGACCAAGGGCGAGATCCTAGACCCCCTCCTGTTTGATGTCTCTGCGTTTTGCTTTGATCAGGATGATGGGCAAGACAGAAAGGAGTGAGCAATGCTTTCACTGATTATGGGCATCGGCGTTGGGGATTGGGCGGGGATCTTGGGTTTCCAAAGCAGGCGCTTATTCTTCCGGCTCATTAGGCTTCGAGGGATGGAATCTTTGGAGCACTCTGCAACTGCAGCCTCTTGTTGGATTATTGCGGCGTTGGTTGATACTGGCAGTAGCTTTACTAATGGACAATATTGAACCTCGAGTTGTAGTCTTCAACACTTCATCGGACTAAGAGGTCAAACTTGTGGCTCTAGGGAAATTCACAACTTCAAATATGAACATGATGCCCAGCTTTCTGAAAACACTCTGGAGGCTGTTGCTCTTCCACAAATGCTTTCGACCAACAAGCAAAGATGGCGGTTGAGAAATCTCATTACAGAATTGTGTAGCCCATGTGCTCTGCAGCAAACAGTTACCTCGTCGGAACCAATTGTGATGTCAAGGGAAGCTCAGGTTCCAACTCGGAATTGGTAGCCTTGCATATCTTTCGTGCTGGATAGTGCTGAATAATGACAACATATCGTACGATTTCTCATGATGCCCGACGTTCATCCTAGCTTGGGGGAAAGCCCGCATGAGATTCGGACGAGGTTGACGTGAAATACATGTACAATCAATGTGAATTGTAGCAAGTTTAGAAACCCGTGAATGGCCAGGCCGAGACCGGAACGTGGATTGCGGAGGATGTCGTTGTTGCTGTTAAGTGAGCTCGGCAGCAACCTGAAAAGGGATGCTGGATTGAAAACATGCAGACTGCATGACTTCCTGCTGCAATACATACTCTGGACATGACAGGGCTTTTGATACTTCTGCACTTCCTGAGAGTTCGTCATCGGCGAGGACAATATGCACTCGATTCAAACCTCTCCCCGCTCTTTGGGGAGGAGCAGAGCAGGGGGAAACCTTCCTGTTCAGCTTACGAACATTACAGGTAGCCAAACTATTCTATTTCTGCGAAAGGTTTCCGGATGGGAGGTTACAAAAAGAAATCAAGATTCGGTCAAGTATTGGCCCCCTCCCAGTATTCTCGAATCGCTGGTTTAATATAGAGCATGCACACTTAACAGCATGAAGATCTTCTTTCAACCGTCTACCTAAAGGGTCCGTCCTGATACATTGTGGTGGACTTACTATACCTAGGTAGTGGTAAGATAGTAAGTCAGTCATTTCCCTGCGCTAATCATCCAGGCGCGAGTGCCCACCCACAGGTGTTCGTACTAAATCTGTCGACACGTATCTGTGGGATCTTCAGGTGCATCTTAAAAACCTTGCATCGAATCGAAGGTGCTTTGAGCAGCTGTCTTTCACATGCTTGGACGGATGCTTTGGAATGAGGCAACTAGGTATGCTCCTCCGAAGTTGAGTGTAAAGCAAGCTACATTGCCAGTTAGGTGGTTGTACTTACTGGGCAGCATATAAGCACAAAATCATCAACACCAATGGCTGTCACATATCGCAGAGTGCTGCAACGAAGCCACTTTTCTAATTTCAGTCTCATGTTGCTACACGCTCCCCCATGTCTCGAATTCCTTCTGCTGCGATCAACAAGGAAGATCGTGAGCGCTCGCTTGAGCGAGTCAGAATCTACGGGTTGGGCCGCCCCTTCTCGAAAGATGCAAAGGGCTTGGTGTTTTCTACTTGGGACGTTGCCTAGGAAGAAAACACTTTTGTTTCATTTGTATCCTAGAAGTTGCTTGCCTATGTCCGTGAGGTAGGTTTTCACCCAGCTAATCTGTTACTGCTGCGAATCCTTCAAATTTTGTTAATGCTCGCCAAAGGCCTTCTCGCGGTCTCTCCTTACTCCGTCCGTCTAGTGGAAGCGCAGTGATGCAAGCTCGCAACAGCACGTACTGTACTGTAGTATATCGGATCGTCCTTCCACATCGTGGTATCAGTCGTCGCCATATTCGGGTTTCGAGACCACCTCAAATACCTGCACTTTAGTTACGTTATTGTCAATCATAATGCCTTGTCCATCTAGGTCATTGGGAGATATGCCATCGAATGACTCCATACCATCGGCAATTTCTCGTTGTTCGGGTTTACATCCTGCGGGAAAGCGACTAGCGATACTGTATGGTATGGAGCTAGGCGAACGTTCTCTGCTTCTGAGCGGCTGCCCAGTGCCTACACTTCTCTTCTCCCAGGCAGCCCCGGAGAATCTGCCACTTTTCTCCTTAAGGTACGCCAGTAGTGTTGCTGTCCACTCTCCATGGTATACGAAGGGTACACCTGAGATAGCTGTGTAGATGCTGTCCAGGTGCGCTTCCCACGTCTCCAACATATAAGTATCATGTCGTTGTAAATTCGCTAGCCTCCCAGTCCAGTGCAGTCCAATTCGCTCCTCTTCACTCCAGCTCTCTTCACTTTCCCCTCGCCCTCGCCCTCCCCCTTCCCCTTCCTCTTCTCTCTAGGCTCTTATCCTGTGCCATCCTGCCTGCTCCCATATGTTCTCCCTACGCTCCTTTACGATCTCCATCTCCATCTCCATCTCCATCTCCATCTCCATCTCCACCTCCATCTCCATCTCCATATCCATCTCCATCTCTATCTCCGGGCCTCGCAACTTGGAAATGCACAAGTGAAATCGGTGGAGCAGACGCAAGACTCCAGCCAATCCACAGCGGGCGCATGTAGCCACACCCCACCCGCGGCATCGCTAGGTGCGCACTACGCACCCTCGCACCCCACCAGCCCACCAACCCCTCTGGTCTCAACATCCTTACGCGACGTCAAGTCAAAAGCCAAAACCCCTCTACTCTACCACTCGACGAAACTTTTCTTCCTCTGTCGCCCCTCCTCCTCCTTCATCGTCAACACCACCTCTAGGTTTCCGTTCCCATTGCTCCATCATCCACCACACCCATTCATTCCAATCCGCAGTCATGGGCTTCACCGACGTTGATAAGCTGGCTATCAACGCCATTCGATTGCTCGCGGTAAGATCAGAGTAATTTCGGGCACCACCTCAACCCCCAGCCCTTCTGTACCCCTCCATTGTGGCCAAAAAGCACACCTTCTATCTACCACAATCCGCCAACTTCTCCATCTGTCGGCCCAAAATACAGCTACTAACAGCTGTATTTCTAGGTTGATGCAACCTTCAAGTCGAATTCAGGCCATCCGGGCGCGCCGATGTAGGTGTTCGTACGAGTTGTTACATGTCCCGAGACTGACTTTATTCACAGGGGAATGGCGCCTGTCGCCCACGTCCTGTTTAACAAGATTCTGAGGTATAACCCAAAGAACTCTAAATGGGTCAACAGAGATAGATTCGTCCTCTCGTAAGTTTGTCAAGCTTCTATGCCAGCAGTACTTCGTTTTGCCTCCCGGACCAGAGGCCTCCGACCTTACCAGAGTTCGCCAGATCGCTCGGATTCATAATGTTACTGCTCCAATTGGTGGGCTTCTATATTGTGCAGATTCAGTATTTCGCTGTTGTACAAGACCATTGCATTTCAGTTCTGAGTTCTCCATGTTGGCAGATATCGAGAAACTGACCTCTTGCAACAGTAACGGACACGCATGCATGCTTCAATACGCTCTCCTCCATATCGCCGGGTACAAGCTCTCCATGGATGATATCAAGGCTTTCCGAGTTCGTGCCTCTCCCTCTCAGCCACCTAACTATATAAGATATCTGACAGTAGTTCTATAGTCGATAGACAGCATTACTCCTGGTCATCCGGAAGCACATGACACCGATGGCATTGAGGTCACCACTGGTCCTCTGGGTCAGGGTTTCTCCAACGCTGTTGGTCTGGCCATTGCTCAGCACCACGCTGCTGGCGAATTCAACAAGCCAGGGTTTGAGCTTTTCAACAACTATACATATACCTTCCTCGGTGACGGATGTATGCAGGAGGGTGTCGCCTGCGAAGCGGCCTCCCTTGCAGGGCACCTACAACTTGGCAACCTGATCGCCATTTACGATGATAACCACATCTCTATCGATGGAGACACCAACTGTGCCTTCACCGAAGACGTCGCCCTACGTTTCAAGGCATACGGGTGGCACGTTGAGGTCGTTGAAGATGGAGATCACGACTTGCAGGGCATGGAGGATGCTATCAAGAAGTGCCAAGCTGTCAAGGACAAACCATCCATGATTAAGCTCAGAACCACCATTGGCTTTGGATCGTTGTTGCAGGGAACTGGAGGGGTACACGGCTCGCCTCTCAAGGCAGATGACATCAAGCAAGTCAAGAGCAAGTTCGGCTTTGATCCTGAGCAGTCATTTGTTGTTCCGCAAGAGGTTTATGACCTATACAACAAGCACGGTGCTGAAGGAGCAGCACAAGAGCAAGAGTGGGAGCAGCTTCTCGAGAAGTACGGCCAGCAATTCAAGTCTGAGGCCTCGGACCTCAAACGTCGTTTGACCGGCGATCTTCCAGAGGGCTGGGAAAAGAATCTCCCGGTATACTCGCCTTCTGACGCTGCAGTTGCTTCGCGAAAGCTCTCCGAGATTGTGCTCACCAAGATTCACCAAGCAATCCCGGAGTTGGTTGGTGGTTCTGCAGATTTGACTGGCTCCAACTTGACCAGATGGAAGGACGCTGTTGACTTCCAACCACCCTCCCTTGGAATCGGTGACTGGTCTGGGCGCTATATCCGATATGGTGTCCGTGAGCATGCAATGGGTGCTATCATGAATGGTCTTGCCGCATATGGTACAGTCATTCCATACGGAGGAACCTTCTTGAACTTTGTTTCGTATGCTGCTGGTGCAGTTCGTCTTTCTGCTCTGTCCCAAGTCCGTGTCATCTGGGTGGCTACCCATGACTCCATCGGCCTTGGTGAGGATGGACCTACTCATCAACCTATCGAGACTCTCGCTCATTTCCGTGCCCTCCCCAACTGCATGGTCTGGCGGCCAGCTGACGGAAACGAGACCAGCGCTGCGTACTACATTGCTTTGACTTCCAAGCACACCCCCAGCATCATTGCCCTGTCCCGCCAAAACCTTCCACAACTTGAGAACTCCACCCTTGCACACGCCATCAAGGGGGGCTACACCGTTCACGAGGCGGAGAAGGCCGACATCACCTTGGTATCTACTGGTTCCGAGGTTGGTATCTGCGTTGATGCCGTAAAGTATCTCAAGGAGAAGCACAATGTCACTGCTCGTGTTGTTTCTATTCCTTGCTTCGAGGTCTTTGATGCGCAGTCAAAGGAGTACAGACTCAGTATCCTACCAGATGGTATTCCATCCCTTTCCGTTGAGGTCATGTCAACCATGGGATGGGAGCGATACACACACGAGCAGTTCGGTCTCAACAGATTCGGTGCAAGTGGTGCATACAAGGATGTCTACAAAGTATGTACGCCTCTAATACATGAAAGAACAGGACTAACTGTCTAATAGAAGTTCGAGTTTACTCCGGAGGGTATCAGCAAGCGTGCTGTTGCCACTATCGAGTTCTACAAGGACGTCCCGAACATTCGCTCTCCACTTAACCGTGCTTTCCAACAACTCATCTAATTTCGCCGCAAAGAAAGTGCAAGGCAGTCAACGCAGTCCCAAAAGTATCAGGCCAGTCGATTTTGTGGTGATAGCCTGCAATTAGATCTCAAAATGGAATTTACAACTATATGAGCAAAAGTCAATTCAGTGCCGTGATTTTGTATAGGTATATTACTTCGAAGTCCAGCAGATGTCACTAATCACAACAATCCTGGGAATCGTTCGAAAGTGATCACTCGGGAAGCGCACAATCCACGAGAGCATCTAAACAGCTTGATTTGGTCTTACAGTAATCTAGTACACGAGGCAATTCGCCTGCCACATCTGCTTCTAAACTTCGAAAATTTCACCAACGCCGTCGACGCCTCCAATTCGATTCTCAACTAAATCCAATCTCCAACCTTCCCACTTCTTGAGCCCACGTTTGATCTCCTTCACTCGTTCGATCCGCTTCGCGGCTTCTGCTTCCTGAGCAAGTCTAAACGCATCCTCGTCGAACTCTAGATCCTCATCATCTTCTAGCAATGCTCCATCGCCTGAAGAGGCATTTGCGCCCGTGATTGCATTGAGCCCACTGGTCCAAAAGTCGCCCAAGCCACTCTTCCCGCTAGGTGCGATACTCCTCCGTCTGCTTGGTGACATTCCGCCATGGAGGTCCACATCTGTAAATCTGGTACCTGGACTTGTGACACCAGATGATTCTTCTCCAACTAGCTCCTTCCTTCGCTCGCGCCATGCCCCTCTGCGAAGTTCATGGACTTCTCCTTCAAGGTCTCTGACCTTCTCCTCGAGACGCTGTCGCTCCTCGTTCTCTAGCTCATCAACCCCATCATCGTCAATACCCTGCGCATCCCGCTTCCGTGCGCGTTCTCGTTCCTCTCTCAATCGTAGGTTCTCGTTCTCGATACCGGCAATTCGGACACGTAGTTCAGAAGCCTCTTGCTCGATTTTCTCTCGTTCTTTCTTCTGAGTCTGGGATCGGGCATCGTGTTCCTTACGTAAAGTAACCAGAGTCGAGACCTTCTTTTCAAGTGCATCGATCTTTTTTTGCAGCTCTTTGCTATGTGCCTTTGATTCTGTGGCTTCACGTTCCAGTGTTCTAAGTTTGGTCTCGGCTGATATACGCTCACTTCCCTCCTTTACTGCCTTTTCTGTTGTACGTTCGAGGTTCTTCTTCAGGTCGGCGAGCTCGCGCTGAGCTGTCTCAGCTAATTTTTCGCTCCTCAAAAGCTTTGACTCGAGCGCTGTGACTTGCTCTTTCTCTGAAGAACCAGATGCCATCCGTTCGAGCTGCGCTCGAAGACTAGAAATCTCAATTTCCATAGATTCGATGACTGAAGATTTAGATGACAGAGCTGCTTCATAGTCCTCTGGAACTGATACCGAGACCGAAGGAGATGAGCCATGTCGAGAAACACGGGATGAATGTGCTTGAAGCTGTGTATTCTGTCGTTGGAGAGTAACTACTTCGGCTTTCTAAAGCGTTGTCAGTTAACCTACTTCAAAAGGACGAGCTCCTTACCAATCTCTCCAGCTCGGATGATGACGCAGGATTCGAAGTGAGATTTTTGTTTCCCTTTGTAGATTCATCATCCGCCTCGCGAAGATCTTCAAGCTCCTCTTCGGCTTTTTTCCAGCGTCTTTCTCCATCACTTGCCTCCTTTGCTAGGCGTTTATTTTCCTTCTCCAGCTCCTCAATACGCACCGCCTGCTTCCGATGGATATCTGGGGCTGTGTCGCCTTCAGGAGAAAACCCGTAGCTGGGGGATAGTGGTCCGCCAGATGAATATCTGAAAGAGGATGATCGCATCTTCGATTGGAGGGATAAGGATGGTTGCTGGCGGGGCGTTTCTGAATTGGGTTCGGCAACCAACTCCTCTTGGTCCTTAAGCCCATCACGCGACGTTTCTATATTGTCATCTCCATTGGTGGGCCCGGGACTCGTCTTCGTTGATGTATTTGGATTGTCATCTGGCTTGGAAGGTTCTGGGGCAGCTTCCAGCTTGTCATCCTTCTTTGCACCTGCTTTCTTCTGCTTTTGCTTCTTCATTTGCTCCACCTACAGAGACCATGGGTTAGCAGGCCAGCGTCCGAGTACCACCAAGACGAGAGATGCATACCCGCTTCTTCGCAGCTGCGAGCTTTTCAGCCTTTGCTTTATCTTCATCCGCCATGATTGCTCTTGTGAGCGGCAGTAGCTTGTGGGACTGTGCTGAGGAGGGTGCAAGTTTTCGGAATAGACTATGTTGACAGATAAGGTGGCGGGTGCGCTGAAAGCGATGTGCCTCTTACTCTCTGACGTTAACTTGACTTGACTAGGACAGCTTGCCGTATCACTACCTACCTCCGTATTACCCCAGCGACCCAGACCAATGGAAGCATCACTACCTAGGCTCGCTACAGTAGGTATGAAGTCCATGCTTGACGCTACTTTAGTTCCCGGCACTAAATTAAGCGAAGGAACCCAACTAATCCTCATCTCCTCTCATCCCCATCCCTATCCCCATACGAGCTATAAGCATCCAATCCAGCCCTATTTTCTTCTGTTCTGTTACGCTAGGTCTGGCTCTCCTCGCTTTCCTCGCTCTCTCTTTCTGTCGCAAAATCCATCCCAATTCATTTCGGCTCAAATCAAACATCAAATCCCTCGGCATTGTTCCGGCTCAAACTGCACCACAAGTTACGACAGTCGTTATGGCGAAGGTTCCACCTCAGGTCGACTCGTTCGGTCTCCATGTTGCTGATCGGGGCTTGAATCCCGTTCTCTCTTCCTCTCAGTTCTCGTCAACCTGCAGTACCACTTCTCAGCCACGAAGACAGTTCCAGTCCCTTTCATCTCTCACTACCACAGCGATCAATGTACACGACACCGCCTTACGGCTTGGCCTTGGTTCGCCTCTGAGGATCATGGTGGAAACGCAGTCGTCAGGCCCTGTTGTGCTGACTTCCTATCTATACTCACCCGATCGATGCAAAGCAACAATAGAACAGCCTCATGAGAATTCACGTCTACTTCGCGAAATTCTGGATGACAGCAACACCCTCGAAGAACCTATCCATGGGCTGGACGAGAGTGCTCACAGCCACAGGGAATTAGGTGTAGGCGAATTTGAACGGAGGAACCGCCCCCCTCTATTGATCGCAACCGTTGTGGCTTCAAGCGCTTCTACGATTGGGGAAGCTCGTAGATCAGCTGCTCAATTGGAGCAAACTGGGAGAGATTTTCAGAGCGAATGGTCAAAAAAGCTGGTCGAGCATTCTGGTGCTGTGGCTGCAATGAGTGGAGAAGACAGCTGATCAAATCCGTTCGCGAGTTTTCAAACGAACAATTTCCACACTCTGCTTTTCATATACCGACAGTATGGTAATTTTGGCGTGTCCAGGTGGTCGTAGCAAGAATGTCTTTCTGCTACAGAACCCACGATGATCTGACAGAGGAGCTACGGTTAGGTTGTCTTGGGAAGAGCACTGAGAAGCTTCACTGCTCTACTTGCGTGGTAGCTAGTGTTTTGTGAGACGACTACTACTATAAATCATGCTTGCTCAGCTTCGTTTGATAGCGAGATCAAATGAAAAGTTGCTGGACTCTGGAAATCCATCGACTTGTACTCTCCTGTTCTTCATCCGATCACGAGATCTGTGGCTACAACCTTAGTGAGGATCTGCCAGTTTGGTTGATAGCCTTCCATCAAAGGGAAAGGGCGGCATTGCTGCAATAGAAATGCTACAAACACTATGTGTGTGGTCAGTAGAGGAATTGATTGATTGTCTTGTGGTCGCTGGCGTCTTGCGCTTGGAGACCTCGAGATCCAGCTCACTCCCAATACGTCGACTTTTCGCTGCGTAGCACCTGCATTCTTGAACCATTGTGAAGTTTCATGAACGAGCCTCCTAAGGAAAACCAGTATTAGCACCTCTATCGTGGGCCGTTCGTCACATGTGCGGATAGTGAGAAAGGTCGGCCTGGCTGCTCATGTTCTGCCCGACAGAACGACAACGATAGTGATAGCCTGTTCAGGCAATCCAAAGCTGCCCCTCAGGCATGAACTTCTCATCTTTTCTCTGGGTTTTGCCTCCACACAATCGCAACTAAAACCGACTATTCAATATACATCCAACTGGCAGGGGCAGTGCAAGCCACCGGTGACCGGCGAGGACTCGATGGACTGCTTACAATTACGTCTCTTCTTCAAGGAGGCTGACGCCTATCGATCATACCCAAGGGGCAGCATAAGAAGCTGCATCCTCGCACCGATTCTTCGCTTCCACATCGTTTCTTCTCTTGAACCGAGAGTGCGAACTTGTGCGGCGACGCCAACGGATTCGTTGAGATCAACGATAATAATCTTCTCGCGCCGATGAGAAGTTCACTGGTCTTGCGAGACTTGTCGGTGAGAAATCTAGGGGCGAGAAATATTTCAACAAGTAATTGCCAACGTCATCACATGAACCTTGAAATTCAATATCCCCTTCCAGTTTGCTATGGTTTCTATCAACCTCGAACTTATATGCTATCCGAAAGTCCTAACATTGTAATTTTGCATTTCTGTCTGGTGATATCGTGCTCGACACAGCAGCTACGGTTTGACTGGACTGCAGAGGTTTTGACCGTAGTTGAAGAAGTATCCAAACAAATTCTCGGCAGCAGACTCTTTTGATCTGCGATTGCAAGCGCTACATCCATGTGCTTGATGTTTGTTGTATGCTCTAAGTGCGTCGTTCTCCTCGGAAGATTTATTGCAACTGGCATAGCAGGAACTTAGGTTTTCACTGGCTAATGGGAATATTTGGTGAGCGCCTGTTCATATTTCTGGTTAGCAGTTACCTTGTTCTTCGCCTGGATTGCAAATTTAAGGACTGGATATGTTACCTGTCCTTCCAATTTTCCTCTGGAATCCTCTGGAAGGAAATCAAGGGCATATTGTTGCTATTGCTTTGCATTTTAAGAGGTTTCCGCTTAATAGCTGCTGGAACCGAAATGCAAGTCACTGCCTCCAAGGTGTGGCCTAAGCTGATGGTCTAATTTGACTGCATGTATTACCAACACAATCCATCTGAGCTCCACAGCAGAAAGTGGAAGACACTCTTATTGCCGCGGGAGACCTGCAACATGTCATCCAGCATTTTCCAGATAGGTGCTTCGGTACAAGCTCGAATGAACTATGTTCGCAGCAGTGTATGCTCGACTCCCACCTACGCTTCAGATCATTATCCAGGTATCAATGCAGTGGAATAGTAAATTGACTACATGCCTTATTTAGATCTGGTTGGTTCTTTGAATGACCAGGACGCAGCACTCGTTAAACAACCTCTTTGAGCCCGACTTGGCTTTGGCAAGATATCAAGCCTTTAGTCATCATGCTTTTGGGCCTTTGATGGAAACATGCTGTGGCCAACGTCTTTCTACCACGAGAATTTGTAGAGTTCCAGTCAGAGCAACGTTTCAGCAAATTGTCGTCTGATGGAAATGAAAATATTTTGAAGAATGGCATGTGAGCAAACGACAACAGGCCGTTCCTTCGGATTTCATCACTACATACGTCACAGAACAGAGCTGATTTGATCCCTCCAGCGATCTCAGCCCTGAGCGTCGAGCACGAGGAAACGAAAACGGACGCTCATCATTTCTAATGCCTTCGCCCGGCGTGACGACAACAGCGCCACAGGCAGTCTGTCGCCTTACTCTGCCTTCCCCCAACGGCCAGGCTCCAAATAGATGCCCGACACCCCACTCATACTACCAGGACCAGGCAGACATACCTGGGAATACCTGGGCGATTTATACTTCATCAGCTGGTGAGTCACGAAAGCCAGGTACCTAACTATTTTTGAGGCGGCAGACGATAGCATGTGACTGACTCCTCCCGGTCACCTGCGCAAAAAGCCTGAACCTGTTCATGAACATGAACAGGCACGTAACCACAGATACAAATAGTCGCGTGTATCCCAACACGCGCAAGGTGGGAGGAGGAAATCGCCTTCGAAATCCAGCCTCATCGTGCGATTTGTGCCAAGACGCTAGTCTAGGCCCCTGTCACGATCCAACCTGCGAGCCTGAGGAAGGGAGGTTTCTAGGCTTCGTAAGAGCTCGCCACAGCGGAAATCCACTATATCGTTCACAACCTGCAAACTGCGGCCTCGCATCGACAACCTAATACCAATTCCAGTGCCAGCTATTACTCCGCATCCGACGCAATGTCACTTTCATACGAAAGTCGAACGTTCCCCGATTACCCACAGTCTGCGCTAATGCATGATTCACATCAAGAGCAAGACGACCATAGTATGCAACATCATCGATATCCAAGCCCTCCTCCTCCGATGAGCGACACCACGTATATTTCCCAGGGAATAGATGCCACCGAGGGCCTTACATTGGATGAGATGCCAGAATTACCGCCAAAGGAGGATTCGGATGCGCCAAGTCCTGGAAGATCCAAACCTATACCAAAGCCAGATCGGGAAGTGACCAAAGGAGACGATGGGCGTTTTGTTTGCACTTGGGTTGGATGCACAGAGGATGTGCGCGCTTTCAATAGGAAGTGCGAGTGGTCAAAGGTATGCACTCCCGTTGTTCTCAGTCACGAGTCTTTAAATCTGTACTGACTTTCCTGAATTCTTAGCACATGGACAAGCATGATCGGCCGTATAAATGCCCCTCGGAAGGATGCGAAAAGCTGCCCGGCTTCACATACTCGGGAGGATTGTTGCGTCATCAGCGAGAAGTACATAATCTTCATGGTGGCCCTCGAAAGCAACTCAACTGTCCGCATCCAAATTGCAAGAGATTCTCAGGGAAAGGATTCTCCCGCCAGGAGAATCTGAATGAGCATCTACGCCGTGTACACACAGATGCAGCAGAAATACTGGCGGCCGCCCTGGAGAGTGATGAGGACAGCAGCGAGGTGGCGGGAATGAAGAGAAAGCGCCCCCGAGATGATGGGGTTGATCTTCGAATCGAAATGAAGAGACTCCGAAAGGAGAACGAGGAATTAAAGAGGCAGGCACAATTGCAAACCTCTCAGACAAATGAGTTGATGAGGCAGTTACAGAATCTACAGAACTTGGTCGGCACAAGAATACAGCAAGTAGCAGCGCATGCAGCGCAACAAGCACCACAAGCAACAATGATGTAAGATCACGACATTGCGATTTTTTCTTTGTTGTCATGGCTTGGAGCGTCTGCATCGACAGGCATTGGGGGCGTTTGGGAAATATGGGTGTTATGGATGTTATGGGGAAGGCCAAGCATATCCTGCGCTTCTGGTGTGTTTGATTGTCTCTTCTCTCGCTATGGATAAGCGTTTCCCTCTTCCAGCTTAATACCTGTACACATATGCACCAAACCGGCCCTAGGGACTGGATACATTATTTAGGACGTGTAAGATCGTGACATGTCATGGTTCTTGTGGCGTCTTGTGAAACCAACTGTATCATGGGCACTTCCCTAGTGAAGGCGTCATTCATGCGCGGGTTTAACGTTCCCAAAGTGATATCGTTAAAGGTATTAGTCGGCATATAATCGTGGGATCAGAGACTACTACCTTCCGGTAAAGCTACGCCTTTAGGTAGGGCGTAGCGAAAAGCAAGATTTCTTAGGGGCCTCGCTTTAGAGCACCCTAGTCCCTAAGTCGCTTACCTTTATCTGAGCTTTATATATATAAGAATATTAAAATAAGGAATACTTTCCTATTATAATATACTTTAAGAATATAAGATATATATAATTTTTTAATATAATTAAAAGAAAGTAATTTAATGAAATTTTTTCTAATAAAAATTTAAGATTTATATATTATATTATAGTTATTAGGTATTTTATAGAATATTAGTAGAAAAATCTTACTTTTCGCTACGCGTTTACTTTTTAGTACACCTTACCTAGAGACGCAGCTTTACCAGTGGGTAGAGTCTCTAGTTCTACAATTAACTGACACGAGTTACGATAAAGAAACTACGATAGATATTAATTAAAGGCGTCGTTAGAAACCTTAAAACTATATAAACGTGGAGTTGTTCGATAAGGATGATTCTAATCGCGTTTCCTTGTGATCGAGTACCTATTTACACTTACTCAATCATAAACTTGGAACTTAGATACTACTACACTAAAAGTTATAACATGTCTTTGAATCGGCATTACGAATTTCTTTTTCAATCTTACTTCTCACCTATTCATGAATCATTCGTTGTGGTTTCTCTTTCTGAACCGCCCTAACATATTGATATAGTTTGTTACTTGTCACGCTGACTTGGTTGAACAGATATATATCCATGTCGTTTCGATCGCTAGTATAACATGGTCTTACAATCTCATTTAGATCTTCTTATAACTAGCTACGTTATTAGAGGGATTTAGTTACTACATCAGCAAAAAATTCTGACGCCGGGTGCACATGCCACCCGCTATTTTCGCTATTTTCGCCGAATAGTGGCTTTTTACGCTTAAGGCGCCTTAAAATATAAGAGGCTATCATACGTTAGCCTTAAATAATAAAAGGCTACCTTATACGCTCTAGGCGCCTTTTATAAGACTTACTTCTATATATAAGCTAGATGTCGTGCACCTAGCGCACCTGAGGCACTCCCTAAGGCGCTCCAGCTAACTAGAGGCTACTTATATAACTAGAACTCCTAGAGCTTCCCCTTATAAGGGAGCTCTAGAATACCTTAATAAATTAAGACTTTTATACTATATAAAGCTCCTCCCTATAGTATACGATAGTTAAGAGCTATATTCGCTCGTTTAAGCTACTATACGAGTATACTACGTAGTATAAGTAAAGTTATAAGTAATATTAAGAGATACTTATACTACTACTTAAAGAACTCCTTTAAATACTTCTCTGAACTTCCTGAAATACTCTTAATACTATTAGTTCTATAAAAAGCCTCTTTAATATATTAATATACTTTTAAGATAAGTTAATTAAATATAAGAGTAATACTCTCAATTAAAGAAAGTAGTAGCTTTAGTAGTAGATAACCTTCTAGTATTATATTAAACTTAAAGGAATCTAGAGATTTATTAACTCTGATACTAATAATATTAGAAATATTATTAAGTAATAACTGAATCTCCTTAGTATTAATGATTTTATATAAGAGGAGATAAATAGTCGCTTTAGTAAGTAGATAGTATTATTAATATAAGCTAACTTAGATTTACTAGTGAAATAGAATACTACTACTACTAAAGAAAAAGAGAGTATAATAGAACTACTAGTATTTATAAGTAAACCCTTAGAAGCTAAGTTTAAAAATATTAAAGTACTTTAAGAAGCTCGAATAAAAGAGTACTCGAATAAGCTAGCTAAATAAATAGCGCTTAATAACTATATTTAGAACCTCTTTAACTAAGTAAATAGTACTATCAGCTAGTCTATTCTAATTAACGTAATTAATAATAATACTACTAAGGGCGCCGTAAGACTATAAGCGCTAGTCAGGTCTATTAAGCGTAATATAATACTTTCAGATATAATAGTACTAACCTCTATTATTTCAGACTATACTAATATACTTAGCTTACTAATACGTTAAGATAAGAAGTCACGAATTAAACCTTATATATAGTATAAGCTATAGTAAAAGAACTTCTATCTTATAAGAATATATAATATTCTTAATATATAAGAAGTATATAATATATAAGCTTTCCTAAATATAATATTAGTTTAATTAGAGACTTAAGCTACTTAAGTACTTACTGATATTATAAGAGATAATACTCTAAGATATTAATATAATATAACACTAAAAGAGTATAATCTAGCGTTTATAATAAATATAAAAGAGCACTACTAGAATAAAAGTAAGGGAGCTAATAGTTTCTATACCACGCTAATACTAAGTAGTTATTCTAATATAAGAGGCTTATAAGACTATTCTAAAAGCTCTTAGAATCGCTTCTATTTAAATTAAAGAAATAAGAAGATTAACTACCCCTACGGAATCAGATATTAATACCTTCTAATTAAGTACTAAAAGCTCTAGTTCACTTATAATAACTTTTAAGTTAATAATATAAGATTCCGTCTAAATAATAAGTAAATTAAGAGGATTTATAAGGCAGCTTAAACGCCTAAGTATATAGAACTATACTAAGAGATCTTAAAGGAAAGTTAAACTATTATCCTAGTTATATAAATCACTAGAAAGAAGTTTAATAAAAACTAAGACTTATTATCTTAGTATACTAAAGGGAAGTACCCCGGAAATATTAATATAGCTACTATTAATTTAAAGCTCTTAGACCTTAAAGAGACACTTGAAATCTATACTACAGACTTTATTAATATCTCTTACGTATTATTAGAGAGTACCTTAGTAGATAATTATAGCGCTTAGTACTTAATAAACTATAAGAGTAAGCTAGTTCTAAGTTCCTTTATAAGATTAACTAATAATAATTATATAAAAGCTAGAATATAATAAATTCTAGTAGTTAATAAAGGGAAGCGAGTATTTAAGAACTCCTTAACTAAGCTAAATAGTCTAAATACTTAAGACTTATTACTTAATAATATTACTATAATCTATGATTTCTATATTAATATTATCTTAGAGGCGTTATTAAAAGACGCTAAGTTATAGTACTTAGGGAAAGATACTACTTTATAATATAAGAAAGTTTAAATAAGTATAGTTATTAGATATCTAGTTCGAAAGTTCAACTTAACTTTCTTTAAATATAAGCTTTTTAGATACTCTTATCGCTTCTATAACTTAGTAACCTTAATATACACGCTTATTATAATATACTTAACTTTAAGTCGTAGCTTAAATAAGTAAGGTTTCTAACTATTAAGTTAACTATTTAAAGAGCGTTCTATAACTCTGTAACTATAGTACCTACGCACTAGCTATTTAAAAGAGAGTACTCTATAGGCGCTACTTAAAGTAAGAAGAGATATATAATTCGATAGAATATCGAGAATTAAATATAAAGATTACGCTATTATATATACTAGAAATATCACGTTAAGATAAGAGTTAGAAAATAAAGTAACTAGGCTATTCTACTAAATCCTCTAGAACTTATTTAATTTTAATATAAGTTATAATAATACTCGCTAGCTACTTATTATTAAGGATAAATATTGTAGGAAGCTCTTTAGTTATATATTACTAAATAAGTTAGCTAGCTATATTATTCTAGTCTTAAAGAACTTTAAGCGTTAGATTAAGCGTTAATATAGACTATTAATCTATATTATTCGGCATAATAATAATACCTTAGTTATAGCTATTTAAAGCATATTAAGATATAAGGAATAGATTATAAGAGAAAGGATAAAAGTAGAGAATCTCTTACTATATATTAAAGAACCTATAGGTAGTACTAAGCGCGTAAGATAAGAGATTATTAATAAATCTATTAAGATATATATTTAAGCGAACTTACTAGAGAAGCTTTACTTAAAGGTATATTATATAGTAATTTACTTTTATAATATAAGTTCTCTTATATACTAAGGAATAAGGAGTCCTAACTAAGTACTTTAGGAATAGTTTCAGAACTACTTTTAGTAATACGATCTATTAATAGTAAAGAAGCTCTCGATAGACCTAAGACTTAACTAGAGTAGAGTATATATATATAAGACGTATATATATCTAGTTATAACTAATAGAGAAGCTAGAAAGAGTTATAGAGGCTTTAAAGTTAGCTCTAAGGCGTATATTAGATACTTAGTTAGTTATATTACTTCTAACTTATATAGGATCTAGGTACCTTAGTTATACTATATAGTAATCACGTGTAATATATAATTTAATAAGATAATATTCTATTCCCCTAAGGAAGAGAGGAAAGTTAGCTAACTTACCTCTACTTTAAAGGAGCTTATTAAGAACTTAGAAGAGAATATCGTTACTCTAGATATAGAGTATAGTATTAATAATATTACTAATATAGTTATAGCGGAATATATAGCTGAACTAAACGAAGCTATAGTTAAAGCTAATATTAGTATTAAGACTATTATACTAGTTATTAAGGAGATACTAGAACTAATAGATATTACTTTAGTAGAGTTTTTATAAAGCTTAGGAGTAGTACTAGAGGTATAAGAACTGATAGAGGTTAACTCGCTAGAGCTTCCTTAGACCTCCGAATTACTCCCTTATAAGA